GTTCCAATAGGCCACCTGTGGTAGAGAGGGTCTGGGCTAACGGATATTCTTTAAATTGTCTGTATGATAGTGGTTTGTCATACGGCTGTGTGGTGAGGCCAGAGTTTGTAAAACCTGATCAGTATACTGGCAGATTCATAGAGCTCCAATGTGCCACATTGGATGCTAAACCTTTAAACTTGCCGATTGCTAAGATTAAGGTCCGTTCAAAGTATGTCTCGGGGGTAATTGAGGCTGCAGTGCTGGAACACTGTACCTTTGATTTAATTCTTGGCGCTACTTATGTATTTTTAGCAGAGCCGAAGAAACCTTCAGAGCATCTTGCTGCGGTGACCACCCGAGCACAGCATAAGAGTGCCTTAGAGGATTCTCCTCATGTAAATCCTCTTCCTGAGGAAATTAAGGTGGCCCAAAGTAGTGACCCAACCCTTAAGGCATGTTTTAAAAAGTTAACTGCAAGTCACAATCCCCCTTTGAAGAAAGAATTCTTCATGAAAGGTAAGTTACTTTACAGATGGGCAAGTGACAAGTATACAGAGCACAGTCAACTTGTAGTACCCAAAACATATAGACAGCAGATTCTCCAGATGGGGCACACTATAGCCTATAGTGCCCATATGGGAATTCATGCAACGACACAACGCATTGCCTGTCATTACTTTTGGCCAGGTATGTCAGCAGATATCATGCGTTATGTCAAATCCTGTCCGGAGTGCCAGAAGGTAGCTCCCAAAGGCAGGAATGCACCAGTCGGACTGGGGGAAACCCCTGTCACCTCCACACCTTTTGAAAGAGTGGCGGTCGATTTGGTGGGACCACTTCCTCTCACAAAGAAGAAGAATGCTTACATATTGACCTTGGTCGACTGTTGTTCAGGTTATCCGGAGGCTGTTGCACTTCGGAGGATTGACAGTAAGACTGTGGCAGAGGCATTGATGAGCATTTTCACAAGAGTGGGATTCCCTTCGCAGATACTGACAGACAATGGATCTCAGTTTAGAGGGAAACTAATGGAGGAGGTGTTTCAGATAATCAAGTCTCAACACATTTGCACCAGTCCATACCGACCCCAAGCGAACGGCCAGAATGAGCGGTTCAATGGAACGTTGGTATCGCTTCTGAGAAGATTAACCCAGGAAAAGCCAGAGAGGTGGGACGAGTATCTGTCTGCAGCACTATTCGCCTACCGGGAAGTACCCAATGCCTCTACTGGATTTTCACCTGCGACCTTGGTGTTCGGAAGACACATTTCTGGACCCTTGGCCATTCTCAGGAAGACATGGACAGACGAAGGGGCAGATGATTCCTTGAAAACCATATCACAGTATGTGCAGGAACTCAAGGAAAGGTTAAAGCTAGGGTGGGACCTGGCTAAAGAGAACTTGATTCGTGCACGTAAGAGGTACGCTGCACATTTCAACCGGAAGACGAAGGAACGATGTCTTGAGGTTGGAGATAGGGTTCTTTTGCTGCTACCATCAGGGAAGTCTAAGTTAGAGTTAGCTTGGGGAGGCCCTTATACGGTGGTAGAGAAGATATCCAGGATCCATTATAAGATCAACATTAAAGGTAAGTCAAAGGTCTATCACATTAATCTCCTCCGGAAATACAACGAGAGAGAGGTAAGTGACACACCGACCCTCTTGACACTTTCTGTAGCTATGGAGGTGGAAGGTGGAGAAGCCACAGCTGTGGAATATCCTCTTCACCCCAGGGAGACCTATAAAGATGTAGAGGTTAACCCAACTCTCTCTGTCTCCCAGAAACAAGCTATAGAGCAACTCTTGTCAGAGTACGACTCTGTCCTGAGAGTGAAGCCATGGCACACTTCATTAAATGAGTGTTTTACGACATTGGTTCCTGTTGAGCTTTTTCGTCAATGCCCTGTGCAAGCTCCTCTTTTTAAAGAGGAATGGAGTAAACCTCCAGACCATCAGGAGGACCAGAAAGTGAAGAATTTTCAATTCACACCAGGGTTCCTTCCTGTGTTTGTTGGAGCACATAGTGACGAGGGGAGGATTATCCTTCCGAACCTCGCGAAGGAATAGACGGGAGGGATTATATCCCACATGCCTCGACGACCTTCCTGTGTGACTAATGATGTGGGAGACACACCGGTATATTTCCTGAATATGACAGGAGTACCAGGATGGGGTGTGGGTTTATTCAGCCAACCCGATCGGGGGATTCGGTCTGAACCTACATCTTTGCATGTACCTGGCAGGGTTCAGTGATACATGGATGGAATCATCAGAGTCTCAGGTCCTCAGGGACATCTACTGATTCTTTATAGATTCCTTTTTGATTAGTATTGTATAGTGGTCATAGGTTTCTCTATTTTCACTTGGATTGTCATTATTGTATATATTTTATCTGTCTCTGAGAGGTTGGGTTGGTCAACCCTTTGATTCAGAGCAGATTTCTTGAGCCGCCATCCCTTGTCTGATAATTCACAGACAGAAGGTGATGAGCAAGCTGAAAGTAGTGAGTCCATAGATGTGTAAATGGCTGATCATTGTTCATTCGCGTAGTACGCTCTTCCCTTTGGGGGGGGGGGGGGGGGTACTGTCGTGGAATGATAAGCCATTACGCATCGGTCCGTAAGACTGGTTTCCGGACTTACCTGTAATCGGCAAAAATTCAAACTTGGACTCGCCCGGAAAGATATAGTCCCTTATATCTATATATATATAGGCCTTTATTGGACAACATTATTATGTCTACATTTTCTGGTTGCTTTAACTAAACTCCACTTTTAAATGTATATATCTTCGATATATATTAGAGGAGTTATTTGAGGTTTCTTAGAAACCGATGCACTCCTTGCCCATGTATACTAGGGACTTCTTTTTTTACCAACGCCTGGAGTGCGTAAGTGACGCCATTCTTTCTTGCCGGTTCCAAGCGTCCAGACGTGTCAATCTACGCCTGTATAATTTCAATTTCACAAGGCGATCTGGAATGTCTCAGTTTTTGCATATGCTTGGGATAAATCCTTTGTGAGGAGCTGGCAGAAGTTTCACAGTCCAACCAACACCCACCAACCATAAATAAACCATACACCATCTACCCACCAGCTGACACCTGTGACGGTTCCTGACATCATCAAGATGTGGGAGCTTATAACTCAAACAGCCTACCAGTGCTAGAGCTTAGTGTGGCTCAAAGACATTGTGTGTCCTAACTGGTGATAGAGACTTGCTAAGTACCAGTACAGTGCTGTGTCCTCTATGGTGAGGTACTATCTTACCACTTGATCCAGTGGAGCAGAATTCTCAGAGTCAAAGACAGTCGAATCATCCGGAGCTGAGGGAGGCATCATAGACAGAAAGAAGAGAAGCTAAGTTTGATGCCTGATTTGCTTTGTGCCTCACAGCTCCTATGTTTCCCAATGATGACATAGAGTTATCTCCAAGACCTGATGTCTGTGTAGTATCTTTGGTCTCTAGACATTATATTCTGAGATTCTTCCACTGATAGCTGGAATTCACTTCATTATTATATGTATATTACACTGATTACATGCATTCATTTTCATGGCTGACTTAGGTGTCTCTATTTCACCTTTTTAAGTGTTTAGCAGTTGTGTGTGAATGTATCTTCATTATATGTGTTAACATGGTTATGATAATGAACTATCATAACCTGGGGGCTTTCTTTAGTAAGTAGTGGGGGTGTACAGCCAAGTGTGCCTAGAAATATTGTATTCATATACTGACATATTTTGTAGTGCCAATACTTGAGTTGCCCTACTCCAGAGATAAGTTGAGCGTATATTGGCCACGGGGAATCCCTTAGACCAATACGAGCCAAACGACTCAACATAATTATCTCTGAGTGCTGTTGGTTCTGAAGGAGAAATCCTTACATTAGGCACGCGACAGGAGTGATATGTGACAGACAGACAGACAGACAGACAGACAGACAGACAGACAGACAGACAGACAGACAGACAGACAGACAGACAGACAGACAGACAGACAGACAGACAGACAGACAGACAGACAGACAGACAGACAGACAGACAGACAGACAGACAGACAGACAGACAGACAGACAGACAGACAGACAGACAGACAGACAGACAGACAGACAGACAGACAGACAGACAGACAGACAGACAGACAGACAGACAGACAGACAGACAGACAGACAGACAGACAGACAGACAGACAGACAGACAGACAGACAGACAGACAGACAGACAGACAGACAGACAGACAGACAGACAGACAGACAGACAGACAGACAGACAGAGACAGACAGACAGACAGACAGACAGACAGACAGACAGACAGACAGACAGACAGACAGACAGACAGACAGACAGACAGACAGACAGACAGACAGACAGACAGACAGACAGACAGACAGACAGACAGACAGACAGACAGACAGACAGACAGACAGACAGACAGACAGACAGACAGACAGACAGACAGACAGACAGACAGACAGACAGACAGACAGACAGACAGACAGACAGACAGACAGACAGATAGATAGATAGATAGATAGATAGATAGATAGATAGATAGATAGATAGATAGATAGATAGATAGATAGATAGATAGATAGATAGATAGATAGATAGATAGATAGATAGATAGATAGATAGATAGGACTTCATACTTTTTAAGTGAGCAAAAATAATGATAACAATCACAATAATGTGCTGAATGATAAATAAATGTAAAAATATATTTGAAATAATATAGAATGTTAAATGGGTTTTAAAAAAAGCTTCTATGTTTAGTAAAGGGACAATTTAACCCTTTTGCAAATGTTGTGGGAAGGGAGACTTACCCTATACATTTTTGGGTTTTGGTTCCCTGAAACAGTATATTAGACAGTCTAGTGCCATGACATGGGAGTACACATGGATCATAAATGTTTGACAGTAGCAGAGACAGAGGATTGTGGACAAATATGGTTACCGACAAAAACACGACTGAGACTATAAGAAGCAGAAAAAAAAAAAAAAAAAACTACCCTCTTACCTGCTTTGTTTATATCATCAGTGCCACTGTCAGTATCCAAGCTCCATCTTGGAGACAAGTCGCCTTTATTCTTGTCACTGAAAGGACTGGGTATACCCGTTTGTCTGCTTACTTCATCCGAATGTACCACGACGTTTGGAACTGCTAGCTTTGACGAAGAGACTTCTTTGTAATCTTTATCCAGATCAGAAATGTCTGGCAGGAATAACCCATCAACAACGTCAATATTTTTGCTCGTCTGCTGCGCTGAAGAATTCTTCTTAACCGAAATGCTTGCAGGTTCAAAAGATTCTGTCACCGTAGTTGTAACGACTTTCGTTACTTTACTGATCTCATAAGAGTTATCGACACCTGACGCTGGCGTTTTCACAGTGTTGGAAATTCTGCCCTCGTATGGATTCTTCCAGCTGCCGACAGGAGATAGAGTAGGACTATTTCGAGTTTTCTCAATGACCATATCTTTTATACGATTTACGATAGGATTGTCGTAGTCACTGTCATTAGCATTTCTTTTTGGAACAGCGTAAATAGAACCTTCATAAATGTAATGTCTAAGGTTCAATTCACTGTCATTGTTGTCGATATTTTTTGCGTTCTTTTCCTCTATAAGAGATGAAAAGGAAGGTTGCGTTTTTTGATCATCAGTTTTATTTTTGGCCAGAAGTTTCATGCTGTCTGTAGCCAAAGGAGAAATAGTGTTTTCTGAACTATGTACGGTAGCGCTGACCGTACTTGTTGAGCCATGCTGTTGAAGTAATCGAGTAGTGTATGGTACTGCAGGTATGGATTCTTTAGAAGGTATCGTTGTTCTGTTTGTCGCTATGGACTCAGCTGAAAGCGCCCTGCTGGGCAGAATACCACGAAAGTTTTCACCGTTTACTTTTTGACCTTCAGATAAACCATTTAAAGGCTTTAATAACGTTCTGCCTTCATCAGCCCATGATGATCGATGGCTACTATTATTATTTATAGCGACTGGTACTTTACCATTTTCTTGGCCAAATGTCTTTGATTGTTTGGGTATTTCCTTTCGTTGTTGAGGTTTTATTGGTCGCCTTTCTTCTGTAATACTTTGAGACCTCTCGACTCGTGGCTTCATGATAAACTCACCCATGTTGCTGTAGTACTCAGGGGTGTGTCTTGATTCCAGCAGTTTGGATCGGTAGCCGCCATTTTGCACTATAAGAACATTAGTTAATATATTACACATTAGATAAACTATGAAATCAGAAAATCTACGAGAGGTAACTGACTAAGCTCGAAAGTTTGTAATTTCCTGGATACAATTCACACCAAATAACTATCTGTATATTTAACAGCTACAACCATGTTTAAAAGTTTACTCAACTCTTTCTAAAACAAACAGCTTTCTGAAAATTTATTAAACAGAACGCTGTTTCTCACGAGAGAGATAGAGACATCATTAAAGTCATAGGCATTTTTTGTTTTCTGTTAGAGAAAAAAAAAAATATCTGAGCTTGAGCTTTGGTGACTTCTTTAGCCATCCTTAGGCGGAAGACATTCGGTTAGGCACCGCCCCAAAGTGGTAAATGCAGACAGCAAAGACAGCCTAACTAAAATGGATAATTGCGGCATGAGTGGATACCAAGCGTCAACACGTCAATACTACAGGGAATCGCGTGAGTATTATGTCTGGGAAATGCAGGAGTGTGGTGAAATCAAAGGGCGGATTTTCTGGCGACTAAAGCTGAAGCTACAGGAACACTCGTACTGTACAAGGAAGACGCGGAGAGCATTTATGAAAGAGTGCTAATTGAAGACATAAGGTTGGATGAAATAGCAAGTGAAAGAATGTGCGAACAAGGAATTATAAGTGGACCCAGAAGGGAACAACAGTGTATAATCTGTATGCTAAGGAACAGATAGCATCTACACCTTAAGACATTTGCTGCGGGAGACGGAGCATCCATGGATATGCCCGGTGTATTGTGATGTCAATTCTTAAATCAGTAATCAGTAACTGACATCAACTCAGCATTTTTCTGTACGTTCACTTGAAGGGTCCCTTTACAGGCTATAAGGTGTCCTGGGTACATATCACTACCCGCATATTTACAACAGTGATGTTGTCAACATCAGACCGATTGCCTTTTACTTATCGGGCTATTTTCCCGTATCAGTTGCAGAGCAATTGATATTAACTGTAATACACGGCAACTAATGCAGAAAGCCAGAGTGGTAACCATTGTGCTACCCCATTAACCTTTAAGTTAATAGCTACGAATATGCGTAAAAAGTCTTCATGACTCATCCTAAACCATGCAACGCTGTTAAATTTAATTATTATTTTTTAATTCTTTTAATTTAGTTGTTAGGACAATGTAGTTCAATTATTCTTGACTAATTCTAAACCAAAACATAAAACACTCACTGGCTATTGGAAACAGCTGTTTAACCCTTCACCCATGACTGTAATATTGTAATTCTGGTGATGACTGTTATTGTTGGCACCTCTAGCGGCGACTGCCTTACATATTTACTGCGTGTGGCTATTTCTCGATTTAACCAGGATTATTTGTTTGTTGGCTATTTTTTTTTTATAAGGCATTAAGAGGGAGTTCGGGTGATTTTCTTTGGTTACGGGAACGGAACGACCAATTTTGAGGTAACCAGTTTGCAGTGAAGTGGAAACCACTATAAACTACCACCGAATAAACGTAGTTAGTACATTTAGCGCGTCAGTAGACGGAGACAGCTTAAACACTCGAGTTACCTGAAAATGGGTAATCATATATTTCCATTCCTCGGGATGGCGGTACCTCATAGAGAGGTGCTAGGTGTTGGCTGTGGTAGAATCGCTGGCCTGGCATTGGTACTAGAGATATATAAAAAGCAATCATTAGTACTCCAATTCAATAAACATCAGTCATCCCCATGTGGGATGCAATTTTTATTTGTTTTGAAGCCCCACCCTGGTACTTGCCAGGGGTCGCAATATAGCCCGGCCATAAATATTACCTAAAGACTGAACGCGGTTTCCGGGACCTCTCCACGGGGGATCCACATGGTGGCACTTTGTGTCATCGGGTGTTTATTGCTTGTGTGGATGTCCTAGTGGGGTAGAATCTATTACTTCTACTCCAGTTCGAATGTCATGAACCGAGGTTACAATTTTCTGACAAGCAGTTTGTTTTACATGATAAATTATAAGAGTTGGAGTCTGTCATTATAAAAAGTTAAACTGGAATACATCATTAGACATAATATTTGATGAGACACCTCCTCAGTGATGGAAGTTAGGCTGAAAGCCACCGTTCGATATAACCTTAGTAGAGGAAGCCAAGTTAGGATGTACCATTGCAACAAAACAAATAGTAAAGTAAGTAGAACTGGTGTCTGTCTTCAGATATAAAACATCATGTTAGACAACCTAATAAAAGAGGTTAAGTTGGATTTTTCATTAACAAAACAATAAATGAGACAATAACCTTAGTAAAGGAAGTTATTTCGATCCGTTGTTCAATTTATCGCAGTATAAGAAAATAAGTTGAAATCTATCATTAGATATCATCATCAATCAGCAAGTCCTATACAGAACGTCGCTCTCTTCACGGAACGCCTGAAAGTATCCATTTTCCTAGCCAGCTCTCCGGCCCATGCGCTTTCAATGCCAATGCTCTTCAATGTATTGTATCCATCTTCGCGGTGGTCGACCCCTGTCTCGCCTTCCACAAACTGCACCCTCCATCACTGTCTTTTCCAAGCCACCATGACGCTTGCGATGTGGCCAAAATACTTCAACTTTCGGGACAGGATGCTGTTTATGAGCCAGTTCTCCTTGATGTTAAACTTGTTCAGAATGTCGATGTTTTTCCTCTTCCTGGTCCACGGTATTCTAAGAATTTTTCTATAACATTTAAATTCAGGAGCTCCAATCTATTTCCTCAGTGACTGAGTGAGAGTCCAAGACTCACAAACGTAAGTTGCCACAGGAAAAATGCATAATCTCAACATTTTTTACTTTACCCAATATACTAGTGTTTTGCCATAGGCTATTCATGCTATTTAAACTCTGCATGCCAATGCAAGTCTTATCATTAGATATAAAAACAAAAATAAGGTAAATACAGTACACAACAAAGAAAATTACATTGGAATCTACAATTCAATATATAACATTGGTTAAGTAAGGCATTGTCCATAGCAAAAGGGCTCAAGTTGCAAACGTCTGTAAGTTAAAAAGTGCAACCGGTTTTCGACTGTCAAAGGAAACAAAAACTAGATGGTTTGATATGTGAATGAATATCATAATAATGAAGATAATAAACACAGTGCTAATTTATTGATTAGAACTGCAGTTAGTAAAATGAATTAACAATGAAGCAGGTGAGGTTAGGCCTACAGCTATCGCTAAGGAATTTAAAATGTTTGAGAAAAGTTGATGCGATAATTATATATTCATTCTCATAAACCAACAGGTGCTTTACAGAATGTCGCGATCGACCCGCCATGCTTGCAAGTCTCTTTTTCTCTAGTCAATTCTCCAGGCCAATGTGCTTTCATAGCCACTGCATCTTCCATGTCTTGTATCCAAGTTCACAGAGGTCCGCCTCCTTTTCGGGAAACTGTAGCTTCCATTACCGTTCTTTCTAGGCCCCCACGACGCTTGACAAAGCAAGAATACATTTCATGATAAGATGCTGTCGAGGAGCTAGTATACATTACAAAGGACAAATAAATATACTGCCATTAAGAATGAACAGTTTAAACTGCTGTTGAAAATAGACTTTGAAAATAAAATAAAATAAAAATAAAATAAAAAAGGCGCCTTCCCAATCAACTGCACTGGATTTGTATACCCACTGTTGTGATTGGTAATATACACTGCTGAGGCCATAATCTCTTCCACGATTCTAAGATTCTAGCCACATTGCCTAAAAACCACAAGTTCCACACTAAATTACTCTTTGTGAAAATACTTATCATTAAATTAAACATTCTAAACTTCACAGACTGTGGCGACAGCACTAGTCAGACAGCCCTAAATCGTCAGGTTCTAGCCTCCCCCACATCCCATGCTGGGTCAAGGTTGGACAAATAAATTCAGCTCGGATCCCGAATCTGTCTACAATTGTTAGTGTTATTATTATTTGTGGGGAGCCGCGTTAGCGCAGTCGATAGAAGGTTCGCTTTTAAATCCAGCTGCGACCCGCGGCAGCTATGGTCGTTATTCGAAACCGGGCGGTTCCCGGAGTTCACCCAGCCTCTAGGAAATGGGTACCAGAGTTGACACTCTGGGGTGAATGGAGAAACGTCGCTGTAGCTACGGAGTTACGTGCGGACGGCGACACAGGCAGACAGTTTCTTATCAGCTGTCCGTACTGGTGGCAGAGCACTTATGGTTTATAACCGTGTGCAACGACGCTGGTTCACATCTCCCGTCTTTACCTTTTACCTTTACCTTTATTTGTGGGAACTAGGAAAAAGTTATAACACAGAGAAGATGACGCTATACGGGATACATCCTGACAAGAAACCAGCATAAAATCCCCCAAAAGGCATTACAATAGGAAATAAAGGTATTAAGGAGACGAGAACCTCCAAAAGAAACTCCAAGACGAATGTTGGTGAGAGGGGCCAAAGCTGCTGGACTTGATTCCATCCATTATATTGAACTGATCGCACAAGATAGAACGGAATGGAGAAATAGACTTCGAGCCCTATGCGTCGTTTAATTAATGGCACAACAGGATAATGAACGGATATGTAGTGATACTAAATCTTAGAGCTTCTATACATCGTCGAGGGTGGAGCACTTAGTTCCCTTGCAAAATGTTTTAGTTGGTAGGAGTTCTGCCAACCAGTAACAAGTATTGGTTTGGTGGTGGTGGTGGGGGGGGGGGGGGGGGGTTTTTCTTCTCCACTTTAATGGTGTACCCGAGCACTGGAGGTTCCGGCGCCCGTTATCTTAACGTGAAATTTCGACTATTATGCAGATTTTGTGTTTAAGGACACTTTTCCACGCCTTCGGGAGTACTAGGCATATAGGGATTAGCTGGCACCATTCCGTCTTTGCAGACGATAGAGTTGCACTGTGCTCTAAGGAAGCTTGTGACTCACAACCCATGGCGATGTCGAGTGTGACTAGAAAGACATGCTTGCGTTAAAAAAAGTATTCCACAATTTTAAAATGTGATTTGAGGATCGATGTTGTCCTCACATGTTTAGTGGGCTTCATCTCAGACGCTCAGCAGTAATTCTTTCTATAATTCTCATTCTTTTCCTGATTTGCCTTCTCCACGCAACACGGTACATGACATTTTGTTCCCAGAATCTATCTCAATGTCTGTATCATCCATGTCCCGCTTGCACATATCGTTATATCGTATAGATGCCAGCCTTGACTTCTTATAGCCATCTGTAATTCACTATAGAGGATGTCTATTGCCATAGCATAAAGCCTGTGTGGTATTTAGAGACCACGTGTTGCCCACGCATCATGATACCACTTTCGGCCTGCCTTGTTTACTTCAAAGAAAATGTAACACCAGTACGTTTGGACCAAAGCATGTAACAGAAGTTGTTGGAGCTTCTGTCCTAGACCAGTCGCCAGCCAAGACTACGAGCCTGGCTTGCCCTGCCATAACAAACAATTTTCAGGCTGCAATTCCTCTTCCCTGGATAAAGCTAAGCTAATGAAAGTAGATCTCTATATACAACCATAAGAAAGAGACCAACACTGTTCTTTGGCAACATTATGAGAAGAGAGACATTGGAGAACATCGTGACAACTGGAAAGATCAGTGAAAAAAGGGGTAGAGGCAGACCAAGAGAGACGATGCTGGATGGGCTGAAACGATGGCAAGGAGGGATATCATCAAGAGAGCTATTCAAGGCAACCAGGGATCGTGATCTGTGGAAACGCATGAGCGTCTACGCCAGTTGGTAGGGATGATGATGATGAGGATAATGCTAGTTCCTCCCCAATGCGCTTCTTTGCCCGATGCTGGTGGCGCAGCAAGGATATCAGGTTTGATATACGCCGCCCGACATTCGGCGTTAACAGAAGACAGATAGTACCGGCTCCTGTTATACGGTAATAAAGACCAATATTATACAGGCCAATCCGCACCAACATCATGTCATCCGCCTTTAGTTCCCAGGTAATTACTTGGTGCCAATTTACTGCTGGATCGACACGTAAGCCGACATCTTTTAGATAGAAAAAGAGTCGAGCTCTGGTCGGATTTGAACCCACGACTTTCAGATCAACAGATGAGCGTCTAGCGGCTACACCTTGACCGCTCCCTTAGTGTTAAAAAAAGCTGACATTTAACTTGTATAGAATACACCATCAGAATTAATTATATATAAATAGGACAGTATTCCCAATAAGGACCGAAGAGGATATTCCTAAGGAACTCTGAGACCTGCAGGGGGAATAACTTATGGGATTTTGTTGTTCCGCTGAATGCAGCCCCTGGTGAAAGGTCCCCCTTGTTTAGACCTAGACAACCAATAAATAACGCCCTGGCACCTTGCAACGGCGAGGACAGCTAGTCGTGGGAAACGGTTTTTATTAAGCCACTTCTCTAATATATTAGGCGTCAGCGAGATTTATAAAAGGCGTAAAACAGTTTTCGCGCGAGAGAACAAAGAGGGGACTGATTATTGTTTCTGGATGGTAGAGAAAGTAACACTTTTTAACAATTTATAGCTGACAAACTTTGAAGCCAAGACGGCCTTTACTGGTATGGTTGTAGCAACGTCAGTATATTAACTGTTGAATGGTTTCTTCTATTGAAAAGAAAATAAAAAGAAACTACCTGACATCGTGAGGGAAGTCATGGCAACAGCTATGATTCTGGATGGTAA